CTCTATATATATATATATATATATATATATACATATATATATTTGACCTGACTTCATTAAATTATGCCAGATAAAGTTTTTTTTTATGGGTCAGCTAAGTGAAAGTAGTATAGGGTTAATTCAAATAAAAAAATGTAAAATTCAGTCATAATGTGCGACCCTTCATGATGTTCCAAACCTGAAAGACTTTATTTCTGTCCGTGGAATACAAATTAATGAGATGTTAGAGAGAATGACAGTCCAAGTCACCATTGTATCAAAATGCAATGAAATTGAATGGAGACACTTTATTATCTTTTTTTTTTTTTTACACAGAAGAAAATAAGTCGATAAGGGTTTGGATCAGAGGTTTGGAACGAGAAGAAGTAGCTTACATGAGGGCAACATTTTCATTTCTTGTACAACCTTTAATAGTTTCACTTTTTACACAGTGACTTCACCAACCGCATATCGAGTGATGAAGGTTTGTAAACTATGAAGGTTTGTAAACTTTGTGACAGCGCCATTCCTTCCTATTTTTTATTTTCAAATGAAATTACTCAACTGTTATGAATTTCTAAAAGTAAACGTTTATGCAAGCAAACAGAGATAAAACAGATTAGAATTCACCACGAAAAAAATTAAGTAGCCTAATATCAGAAAGAATGTAAACATCGGTCGCATACCCCAGGCAGATCAGTAGACATGTATCCCATTATACGTGTAGCCTATCCCATTAATCCTTCGCTGCACTGACTGATGCGGGGAAATCCAAATTACAAAACATACGTGTATGTATGCATCACTTCCTGATGTCTAACAAAGAGGAAGGTGTTCATCTCGTCTCTCCCGAGTTCAAAGAGTCCTTAAACGGAAGTGTGTTCTTATAGTCAAAGAGAGAGAGAGACTCGCTGTTTTTCTACGTGCTTTTAAAACGATTACTTTACTTTACTCACAAACACATACGACATACACACGTAGGCTACACAGTTGTTCATGATTTAGCTATTGGATAAGGATTAAGAATAAGGGTTTTTAAAAAGATGTTTTACTCAGTTTCTATCCACTAAAATATTTTAGAGCTTGGCATAACTAGAAAAATGTATATTCATTATAAAAATGCACATGAAGTTATAGCCTACACTGCAACATTTTAATATTCAGTATTTTTGTCTTGTTTTCTATTGCAAAATACTAAATTTACTTGAGAAGCAAAATTAAGATATTAACCCCCGGTTTCATAGACAAGGCTTGCGCTTAGTCCCAGACTAAAATGCATGTTTGAGCTGTCTTAACTGAAAGCAACTTGCACTGACATATCTTAAAACATTTTGTCTCAAGATACACATCAGTAATGGTTTTTCTAAGGCATGTTTAAAAGCTACTTAAATGCCCCAATTGAAATAAGGCCTACTCCATTTAATCGAACAGCTGTCTGTGCCACCAGGCCTTGTTTTCTGAAAAATAAATAAATAAATAAATCATCAAATTTAGCGTTTATGGTTAAAAAAAGAAAAAGAAATCTTCCAGTGGTGTCATAAAAATAAATCTAATTAAAAGGGAAACCAAGATTATTATTTTACCTCACTGACAGATTTTTTTTTTCTTGTTTTAAGCATAAACTGCACTTACAGTAGCCTAATTATCACAAGTAGCTATACAAGTAACTCAAGCTCCATCTTGATTCAATAATGTTTATATATGCTATCTGCACTGGAAAAGACAAGTAGGAAGACCATTTTATTTTGCAGTTTAAGATTGTATTCATTTAAATTACATTTCAGGTTTAGAAAATCACACTTTTTAGGTTTAGGCCTACTTGTACATCCAAATTTCTGTGGGAATCCTGATTTCTTCAAAGAAAAAAAGCTTTTGATGGGGTGAATTAAAATAAGAAAAAAAATAAAATAATAATTAAGTCATCTTGGGTCCCCTTGGGAGTTTGCTGAGGCCCTCTAGTGGGCCCTGGCCTGCTGCATGAGAATTCACTGCCAAGCAGGAACATACTACTGAGATCCTATCAACAAGCAGCAAGAACAACCAAGCACTAGCTGTCTATCTTATGATCTGTCTGTATGTTTTATCTGTTTTTTTCTCTTTGACTGCCTTATTCCCATCATTAAAAAAAAAACTATTTTAAACTTCAAGACAAGGCTTAGGCGAATAGGCTATCAATGTTTTATATCGACGAACTTTCCTCATCTGCTTTCCAGTTGCTCTAACACACACCGTCACCGTGTCACCATTGGCCCGTAAATTGTGTGATGCAAGTAACATCATACCCAATATGCCACTCCTCAAGACTCTCGGCAGCTTTAGGGCTGTTTGTGTGCAAGCAACTGGAGACTCTGGGGGACTGCGGTGTCAACAGGGTGACTTTGTATTTGGCCTTTCCACTCTCATAGTGCGCGTTTTGAGGGGGGACATCGCTTCGGATAGACTGTTTTCATAGCGAAACAGTCCAAAATGCAGCACGTTTGTGGATTATGGGAAAATCACAGGTGAAGATGTGTGTGTAGTTTCGGTCACGGATTGGGTGGCGGATCCAGGTGAGTCTCCGCGTCAAAAGAAAAGACTCGATATTAGCCTACAATGTTTTATAAAGCGGCGGAAACTTTTGTGCACTTATTTTGTTCTGTGCCGTAATACCGCGATCAAAATTTGTATAGCCTATATTTCATATATGCAAGGATAAACAGCTGCGTCTTTAAAATTTGCACTAGCCTATTCTTTTGTCATTCTTGGATAATTGGCTCTAGTCTACATGTTTAAACATCAGTTAATTTTATTTTATGCATTTTTTATTGGCTGTTTAAATAAGATTAGATTGAAGGAAGTGAGGTATAGAAACCATGAACGTGATTTTACGAATACAACATGTTCCTGGATCAACATCTTTGTTGATCCTGTAAAAACATTTCAATCAACCAATCATTTGAGAGACACGTTTACAGTTTATGTCAAGTTTTGGCTTACAACCAGGGTTAGGTGCTTCTACATCAGTGTTACTTACCTACACTGTAAAAAAAAAAAAAGATTTTTATCAACTTGGATGTTTAAGTCATTTCACAATGACATTGTCATTTAATGTGACAATCAACTTGGATGTTTAAGTAATTTCAACTTAAATTGCATTAAACTGACTTAAAAAATGTGCTGATTCTTGTACAGTATAACATAAAAAAGTTGAAAATTGCAATGTGAAAACATATGTTGTCATACTTTATTGATCATATAATTTATTTTTATAATTTTTTATAAAATGTTATGGGTAGGGTTAGGTTTGGGGTAGGAATACGATTATGGCTATACATTTACAGACAGGAAAGTTGTTCCAGAATAAGCAAAATATTGATCCAGGAACATCTTACTTGGCGAAATCACGGTGGACCAGAAGCATAGTCTGCATGACATAATCTCTTTCTCCAGCCTACATTTTTTGTTCAATTGGGATCATGAACTGGGATCATGGGTTGACAGTCTGACCTGCATCGTCTCGGCTTACTGAAGCAATATGTGTTTGTTTATGGCTATCACATTGTTATCAGTGACTGAGAATGCGGTGGCAAAATTGGCCCCTGGAGGAGAGACCAAATGAGACTGGAGTTTGTATAGAGTAAACTCAGTAATAGTATGCAGTTTGCTGTTCCTTACCCTATGTAATATTCTGATCATCAGATGAACAGATTTTTGGTAAAAACTTGCTTTTGTGTTGCCTGTTGCAAAATATGTATTAATTGACAATTTAGACCGTTTATACATTTAGTTTGATCCTTGATGGTACTTGGCCTCCACTGCCAGCTTTACCCTCATCATGTGTTTGAGCCTTGTTATATATCTAATCTTAGATAGTAAAAATCTGTCTTTTAAGGATGAATATTTAGTTAGTTAGTTATTTGCTTAGTGTTTGGGTGGTGAGGGGCTAATTTCTTTCTTCTGCTGAACACAATAGAAGACATTTTGAAGAATGTCGGACTCGGTAACCAGACAGTTGATGGACCCCATTGACTTACATAGTATTTCTTTTCCTACTGATGACTTCCATAAATTGTCCGGTTACGGACATTCTTCAAAATATCTTCCTTTGTGTTCAGCAGAACAAAGAAATTCATACAGGTTTGAAACAACTTGAGGGCGAGTAAATGATGACAGATTTTTCATTTTTAAGTAAACTATTCCTTTAATGTCAAATGTTTTGAGGTCCTTTAAACCTGGACTTCAGCCCACTTCCTTCTCAACATATGCATATAATGTGGGAAAATAAAAGACTGTACTGACCACAGACAATAGCTTGTTGGATTTATACCAAGTTCATTGCATGAACATTTGGGTTAATCTCGTCCTTGGCATTTTGAAGACTTATAAGTTTGTAAATAAAGCCGATGGCATGTCCATGCAACTAAAACATGTAAACTCAAAATGCAATGCATGAATTGCATCTATATTCTACAAGATATTGTTGCCAAGTGTTTCTAAAAATGATCCAAAAACATAAAACAGATTGATGGCCCTTTCAATCTGTGTCTCTCATTGGAACTCACCAGACAGTAACTTTCCATTAAGTCACCTCTCTGCACCTGCCCGATTCATTTGTTGATGCCTTGTCTTCATAACATTGTTCATACCATGCTGTCAGAAATAAACATTTTTTCATTTTTCTGTGTTAAATATCTCTTCTGTGATCATGATGTGCTTGTGCTTTTTTGTTTGCACCAGTTTGAATAGAGAACATCATTTTTTATGATTAGTTTGTGATTGTGCTGCTCTCATAATCAGTCTTATCAAATCAAAATGTCACTTTTCACCATCATCTTACTTAACTGAGTGTATCTACTAGATAAAAAAGTAAAATAAAACAATCCACTAATGCCGTCATGGCCATTATTCATGAAATCGGAGAAGGATCATCTTTTTTATATATGTCTCGGCATAGAGTTAGTTAACTCGATGCAATTGTACACATAATGACCTTTCAGCCGTTGTGATGAGTGAAGGTGTTTACCCATGCTAAGTGGTTGTTTTGCATGTCTAGATTGATGTTTAAAGTAGAAACAAACTCTACAGGTGGTACTTAACGTGCTTGGTGTGGAGTGGACACCTTATTGACTTTGTGGACGTTTATTTCTCATGCAGGAAAAAATGCGGAGAGATGCAGAGCAGGCGCTGACTCTGATGTGGCTTCTCTCTTGGATCCCACACAGCATGTGTAAGTGAGCAAAGCAGGACTTTAAAAAAAATCATCAGCCAGTCAATTTAGACAATTGCAATTGTGCACACAGGATATATATTTTTTGGTTGGCCTTTTGTCTATAAACTGTACAGTACATGTGCCGTACAGTTGTGTGCCATTCAGAATTGAATTCCTGTATTTGAATTGATGTCGCTAACAGGGTGCATCTTTTTAAATTCTATATATTGAGTTTAATCAAATATCTATATGTATAGTTGTTAATAATACATTTTATTTTTCAATATGAAATACCCATAAACACACACCATATGGACTATTTCCAGAATTCAATAATAGGGTGTTCTATAATAGGCTTTTACAGATATCATATATCATATAGTCTTCAATTACAATATCTCTCCAGGTCATTCTCCCCCAGGGAGGCCCAGACTAACAAAATGTCGGTCACCTGAGAAAGAGACCTTTACTTGCTGGTGGGAGCCTGGATCCACTGGTGGATTGCCCACTAGCTACCACCTGTATTATAGAAAAGAGAGGTTAGTGCAACCTAAATCACTATTCATCACTGTACCTTTTAACTTGCCTTTAAAAAACAACAACAAAAAAGTTTGTGGTTACTTTTTTCTTTTTCCCTGTATTAATTCATGGACAGCTGCCTCATTGTGTGCTTATTCTGACACAGTTTCGAATGTAGGCTTTGTTTGGCTCAATAATATATCCCATGATTTACTCTATACTCTATTGTTCAAATGTTTGGGGTTGGTAAGACTTTTTAATGTTTTTGAAAGAAGTATTTTATGTTCACAAGATGGCGTTTATTTGATTAAAAATGCAGTTATATTGTGAAACATTATTACAATTTAAAAGAACTGTTTTCTAGTGTAATATATTTTAAAATATTATTTATTCCAGTGACAGCAAAGCTGAATTTTCAGCATCGTTACTCCAGGCTTCAGTGTCACATGATCCTTCAGAAATCATTCTAATATGCTGATTTGCTGCTCAAGAAACATTACTTATCAATGTTGAATGTTGATTTATTATCAGTGTTGAAAACAGCTGATTAAACTTTTTGGGGAAACCCTGATACATTTTCTTTTTTAGGATTTGTTGATGAATTCAAAGGAACAGCATTTGTCTTCATTCTGATACATTTTTGATCACTTTAATGCATCTTTGCTGAAAACAATTTTTTAAAATTAATTTCTTTGAATAACACATTATTGACCATTTTGAACAGTAGTGTATATTTGTAGCTCTCATAATTCTGGAACTTATTTTTTTGTTATTCTCTAAATATGAAAATTTGTACAGCACACACATTTATTAATAAGCACACTAAAGCTAGTATGAGTTCATGTTTACTTATTTTATAACAATACATCTCAGGTTTTGGTTCATCTGTTGTCCAAAAGTTATATCATCAATTTCAACTTTTAAACCATCAATAAACTTTTTCAGCTCCGTGGAAGTCTTTGAATGCCCGGATTATCATAAGGCGGGGGACAATTCCTGTTATTTTGATAAGCGGCACACTTCTATTTGGATCATATACAACATCACAGTGGTGGCCTCCAATACACTGGGAAAAGCCTATTCAGAATCTGTGGAAGTTGATGTTATGGATATCGGTGAGTTCATTTATTGTGTTTACAACATATTAAAATGCATCCAAAAATGGATTTGTTTTCATGTGCTTGCAAAATGCCCCTAGCGTATACTGAGCATGCATGAATGGTTAATGATGTTTTACTACAGAGACCAATTTCAGGGTTGTTTTGACAACAGCCACAGTGCAGCGAGCTGCCTGCTAAATATAGTGTATATTAAAGAGGGATGGGCGACTTCAGTCCTGGAGAGCCACTGTCCTGCAGAGTTTAGCTCCGCAAGGATTCATGAAGACATTTGTTAGATTTTTGAGGTGTATTTGATTAGAGATGGAGATAAACTTCAGCCCTCCAGGAGAGAAGTTGAAGTTGCCCGTCCCTGATATAAAACTCAATGTACTTCTACATAAAGGCACATGCAGCTTAATTTCCTCATGCTGAAACTGTTTATTACAGGACTTTTATTACTATCAGTTAGATCATTCTACTAGACCACAAGGCAGATAATGCTGCATTTGCAATTATATCGTTTAGTTACAATTTCCCCTAAAGCATTGCAGTTCCTGTTAGAAATGTGTGTGCACTGGGCTTATCCATCTGTAACGGTGAGTTAAACGCTGATGACTTTTAGAGCGTCTGAGTGGAATGGAAAAGTACTAAATGGCACTAAACAGAGGCCGCTCTGGCTGACTAGCTGAACAGAATGAGGATGAACAGGTTTGTGTCTTGCATATTGCAAAACTCAAGCCATGTATCGAATATCCCACTGAAGATGCTTGAATGTGCTGGCAACACACAGGGGATTTTTTTAAACTCATTAAGTGTATAAAAACAGTTGTTCAGAGTATGCTTTGTTTTTCAAAAAAAGTTCATCAAGGCTGCATTTATTTGATCAAAAATTCATTAAAACTGTAATAATAATTCACAATATTACTATTTAAATTAACTGTTTTCTGTTTGAATATTAAAACATTGATTTATTCCTGTGATGGCAAAGCTGATTTTTTCACCAACCATTACCTCAGTCTTCAGTGTCACATGATCCTTCAGAAATCAAGAAACATTTCCTGGTATTATCAATGAAAACTGTTGTGCTGCTTAATATCTTTGTGGAAACAGAACATTTCTTTCTTTGAGTCTTTTGATCAATTTAATGCATCCTTGCTGAATTAAAAGTATTAATTTCCTTAAACAACAATTCACTCTTTCAAGAATTTCTTAACTTGTGAATGGTTCTTTTGGTGAACACATCTGTTTTAGAATTAATTTCAAAGTGCTCTTTCTTGTCATTAAATCTTTAAAGGGCCTTGCCCCTTCTTACCTCTCGGACCTTTTGTGTGAACACCGTCAAGCGAGAACTCATAGGTCCGCCAACCAGAGTTTATTAACTGTCAAAGTTCAAATCTAGGGGTGATCGAGCTTTCACCGTAGCCGCACCTCAACCTTTTTCTATTATAAATGCAGCAACAGTTACCAAAGTTAAAAACATATTTTCTCTTTAGCATACAACCTGTGATGTCCTTTATTGTCTGGTGTTTTTTATGCCCTGTTTTACATTCATTATTTCTTATGGTGGGTTCTATTGTATTTTTAATTCATTCTAGTACATTGTACAGCACTGTTGTTGTTTTTAATTGTGCTTTATAAATACAATTGAATTGAATGGTAGTGTACAAGAAGCATAATGAGGAATAGCCATCCATGTAGACCCTATTCGGTTCTTTCCTTTTTTAAGTAAATGTGTTGTTGTCACTGTTCAGTTGCACACTGATTGTAATGGATCATCGTGTCCGTTGTTAACTACCACGCAAACCATGCAAATTCATAGGGCCCCGCAGGCTTGGGGGCCCCTGCTGGCCAAAAGCAATTGACTCAATTCATGACTCCGTTTGACATTATTTATTACCAGGCGGTCCGGATAAGTAGAAAGAAACAACCATGAAGCACACATACCCAAAAGGACCTGAAAAAAAGAAATCCAATGCTGAAAGTAAAAAAAAGAAAAGAAATAAGAAACATCTGATGAGGCTGAAGACCCAGGTCGCACACTGAACAAGCTGTGTCCGCACCGTCACTGCCTGTATTTACTGGCAGCTATAGGGTTGGAAATCGAATCGCATACTTAAGGTCAGGAATCAGATATTTGTTATCGCTTATCGATTCCTGTGTTCACAATTAATGTGATTTTCAACTATTCAAGCGCAAGAAGATGCACTCGCCTCTCATACAGTGTGCAAATACTGAATTCAATTGAGTTCTCTTGCGTTTGAACAGACAAATACACACACAAGGATATTTTGAAAATTTTGTCAGATCTTGACTGAATAACTTTAACTTTACAAAGGATTAATCGATATTTTATTTATTAAAAGAAAACTATATGCAGTGTTATTTTACATTTGATTTATTGCACTTGGTTCAGTTGTATTGATTTGTGCTACTGCTAATTTCTTCTGTTCTGTTATTACTAACAATAATGTCTTTTATTAAACAAACAGTTTAATGGTCTTTATTAATGGTTTGAATATATGTTATAAGTTGTTTTAAACTTAAATCCTATAGGCAAAGTTCCTCGTGTAAGTGTTCTTGAGTTTCTGCTGGGTTTTGTTTGTGGTATTCAGCTGTAACAAAATGTTTTGCAAAAAAACAGTATAAATATGTCTGATATCTAAATGTTTGACATTTATTTATTTATTTTTACCTGAAAAATTGGAATCGATAGGAGTCAGAATTCGCCACAACAGCAGTGGTGATTATAACGTGTGTATGCAACGTGTCTGCCTCTGTTGTAAGCTTTTGAAAGTGGAAGCATATTTTTCACTTAATGGTGAGGGGGATGGCGGGTCCTGACTTTTGCTTAGGGCCCCCCAAAATGGTAAACCCACCCCTGCGTCTGTGCAGTTGAATGTCATTTAAGATGATTCATCTTCTTTCACACAGTGCAGCCTCACCCTCCAGAGAATGTGAATGTGACTTTGATGCAGACCAAGAACAGTCCATTTTTCCTGGTGCAGTGGCAGCCTCCCCATGACGCAGACACCCGCTCAGGCTGGGTAACAATCAAATATGAGGTTCGCTTAAAAAACAGCGGAGACGAGGCGTACAGCAGCAATTGGGAGGTGAGATTCAAATAGTGTCATGGTCACCAAGGTTCTTAAAAAATGTTCTTATGATTTGTAAAACATTTTTATACTGAACTTGGGGTCCATAAATAAAACATAGGATTTTCTTTAACCATCTAAAAATATTCCATATATTTATATGTACATTTGCTTCTAAATGATGAGTGATAAATTAATTATCAATTCATTATGAAAAAGAAACTCTCCTTTTTATATTAGGGGCCCTGGTTTTAAGAAGCTAATTTTTGCATTTCTAAGTTTTGTTTTGATACCATGTAATAGTTATGATCGAGACACATTCTTCTTGTGTTTGTAGTCATATGGTGCTGGAAAACAGTTGGAGTTTAGCATCTATAGTCCTCAGCCGGGAGCAAAGTACGTCGTGCAAGTGCGCTGCAAACTAGACCAAGGCCTCTGGAGTGAATGGAGCCCATCCGCTTTCATCCAGATTCCAGACAGTAAGATGACACCAGCAACAGCAACTCAATCTTTCACACCTTCCAGACATTGTTCTACATTACTGAGCATGTTTAGCCTTACACAACAGTGTGCAGGCTACAGGAAAGTAAAGCATAAATGAGATATAAATAAAGATAATTAAAATAACTAGATTTAGATTTTTGTAAACAATTCTGCCTTTAGACTTTTTAAAGGGGACCTATTATTTTGAAAGTCTTACTAGAATAGGTTTTCATGCTTGAATGTTCAAAAAACTAAATTTGCACATATTTTACATTGTCTGTCCAAAACACTATGTTTAGTTCCCAGCTCTATGAAAAAATGCAATGCGATCTGATTGGTCGGCTGGACTAGTATACTGTGATTGGTCAACCGCTTTGAGTGTGTTTTGGAGATGTCAAATTCTACGCACTACTAATGCAATTCAACCATCTGGCCTTTTTTTGCATATGCTTTGGACGGGAATTACTGTATATAAAGGAGGAATATAAATGACGTTCCCGGTAGAAAACTGAAGACAACAATTGAGGCATTTCAGGGAGTTCGGAAACAGTGCTTAGTTATTGATGTAGAGAATAACTCCCTTTGGAGTGGACTTTGTGCTTTGTAACTCAGGACCCCTTTAACTCAATATACAGCATTAAAGGATGATGATGATGACACTTTAAAGTAAACAAGTCTTTGTGTCTCTTATTTTGCAGCTATGTCTGACACACAGAATGCAGTTATGATCCTTGCGGTCACTCTATCTGTCATAATTTTCCTGCTGACTGCAGGAGTGCTGACAGTCAATATGAAACGGTAAGCATGACATCCTACCTCATCATAATGACACTAATGACAGTGCATAAAAGATAACAGTTTTCCCAGGATTTCCTTTCCTTTGCATGAGAGACAAATTGAACATTAACATAATATTGAATCCACCTTATTTTTCAACAGTTTTCTGATTCACTAGCAACTGTAGGTCAATAACTAGACGAATAACAATGTGTAGTAAATGGTAAAACTATTTGTGCTATAAAACATGTTTCATTACAATAATAAATTAAAATAATATGATAACAAACACAAATACAACAATTTTTTTTTTACATCAAGCAGCATAATGAAATGTTTTTGCTCAACTGAAATAACTGGAAGCGGCTGGTAGCAAAAGTCTTGCACATTCAAGTTAAATAAGACTATGCCCGCTCTTACATTAAAAATAAGTTAATTCTGCATTTTCGCATTCTTCTCTAGGGTGAAGCATTTTTTACTGCCACCGGTTCCAGAACCGAAGATAAGTGGCATAGACACTCAGCTACTTAAGGTACAGTAGACAGTCACTACCATAATTTGTGCATTTCTAGCTTCTTAAAGGGGCCATCTCATGCATTACTTTATTATTTCATTTTCCCTGAGGTTGACTTATAATGTTAGTGCTGTTTTATTTACAATAAAGTGCCTTTAAAGTGCCCCTATTATGCTATATTAAAGGTTCCTCATTTTGTTTTGGAGGTCTCCTATAATATGTTTACATGCATCCAAGGTCAAAAAACACATTTATTTTCTCATAATATACATTGAACATCACCACATTTTTCAATGATTCTCAAACGACTCGTCTGAGGATTCAGTCTCTCTAATACCCTCCTTTCCGCGAGACTGCTCTGCTCTGATTGGCCAGACGGCCCAGTCTGTTGTGATTGGTCTACCGCATGTGTGCGTGTTGGAAGCTAAACGTCCATTACCATAACTGAATATCAGCTCCAGAGGCTTCCTCAGTCTTCAGCGATTGTACACACTGTAAAGACGGTAACGATTTAATTTTAACATATCAATCCGAACGCAAGTCCGCTGATGAAACATGGGAACAACTAGTTTATTAACCCGAACCTCCATCGCAATGACAACCTGAGCAAGACATTTCTCAGTGATGCGCTACTCAGTTTGAGGTACATTATGAGATGTTGGAACTGTAATTCCTCACCGTCACGATTAGTGTATGTCCATCAACAAACCGATGTGTATATTTCTAATTGTATTTTCAGAAAACAGCATCTTCTCGACATGTTAACAACACGAACCAGCTACAGTGTTTTATGGTGGGTCAAAGTAGACGTTGTTCGCGTGCAGCCAGTGAAGACCATAGGCGGACATTAGGGATGTAACGATTCACTCATCTCACGATGCGATACGATTCACGATACTGGTTTCACGATACGATTTTCTCACGATTTTTTTAACAAATGAGATTTAAGACAAAAGTGTCCCTTTTATTATTTCTCAGACAAAATGCTGCACATTTCTTTTTAATTTAAAATATATTTGTCAAAATATAAAACTACATTAAAAAAATTCCCTTCAAGGTTGTTTCAACTCAGTCTTTTGGTCAAGAGGCTGGACACTGGTACCTTCGCACACTATGTAAAAGACTGTAAAATTAGTAGTACCAGATTGGTAGGGGTTTTAGTCCGTGAGGCGGGGAGAAAATTGGTATCAAAAAGGGCACCAATTCTAATGGTTATTTTTCAAAACAGGCATGCCCCCTGACCACAAAAATGCATGATAGCAGTGCCATGTAGGTAGCTTAAGCCTTAAGGTATGAAAAATACCAATTTTACATTTAAATGTGCTGAAAAATTCTAATTATGCAAACTAAATCTCAACATTGATAAACTGTTATATTGACATATCTATTGCTTTAGATCTTCTCTTTTATGATGAGATATCACTGTGAAATTAAAAATAAAATAAAATATATATGCTCTTTAGGACAGAAAATATATTTAAAAAAAAGGAAAATATAACACAATTTTGGAATTATATTAACACAAAATAATATTTTGTGCAAATATGGTTCAATATATCTCCCTTCGCACGGTCATATGTATTGCGTAGCTATACGCTATGGGGAACCAACCCAATAACGCTGTGCTATGATAAGAGCAACGACATCTTCTGATGTCAGGATGCTTGCATAAGGGTCCGAAGCAAGGGCCTTTTGGCATGACGTGTTGAACGGGCAAAAGCCCTAATTATGATGGGCCTGGCTCACTGAGGCTGACTTCATCACACAGAAAGGATATGTGCCTGCAGTGCAGGGACTTCCAAGTTATAAAACCTGGCGTAGATGGACTGCGAGGACCAGCCGGCCACTATACATATATCGCCAATAGATACTCCACTGGACCATGCCCAGGAGGAGGCCATGCCTCTAGTGGAGGGAGCTGTGATGCCTATGGGGCATTGCAGGCCCATAGAGGCATATGCTAAAGCCATAGCATCCACCAGCCATCGGCATAATCTTTGCTTTGTGATCAAGCACTGTGCGACCACCGAAGCTCATAAAGAGCTGCTCTGACTGTTTGTACTGAGCGGAGCGTCTGTACCGGGCAAAGTAGGTGTTTTTGTTGCTCATCTTCCGATGTGGGAAGAGCAGATAGAGTGATCATTTGTGCTTTAAACAGGGTTGAATGAGTTTGGAGAAAAGTATCAGTGACACCTCACATAGGTTTGGGTCCTGGTGAAACTTCACATAGATTTGGGTCCTGGTTTCTTGCTGAGCACCAGCCAGAGAACACAGACCACTTAAGAGCATAGAGGTGTCTTTGTGGACGGAGCTCTAGCCTCGTTGATTGTGCTCAGGACACTCGCTGGGAGCTCCACAAGCTCCCGTCGAGGGGCCACAGATTGAGGGCCCATAGTTTGGGACGGGGGGTGCCAAATCTTCCTGTTCGCCTAGGTCTTTCCTCAGCGGTATTGGCCATGGGGCTGCTGTGAGCAGCAGAATCAACTCGGGGAACCAAGGTTGGGTCCGCTAGAGAGGGGCCACTAGTAGGACTGAGTGTCTGCCCTCCCTGATCCTCTTTATGACCTGAGGGAGGAGCAATACTGGAGGAAAGACATACAGGGGAAGGCTGGGCCATTCATGGGCCAGCGCATTCCTGCTTTTCGAGAAAAATATTGGGCAGTGAGAGTTGTCTTTGGAGGCAAAGGATTTGACCTCCACCCTCCTGAAAACACTCCAAATAATTTGAACTGTTTGGGGATGGAGGGTCCATTCCCCTGGGGACACATTGCCCGGGGACAGCATATCTGCTTCCTGGTTCAGTTTCCGTGGAACATGCGTTGCTCTCAGCGAGCGCAGGTTATTTTCTGCCCATAAGAGGAGACTTCTGGCCAGTTCGTACAGTCGTCTCAACCTGAGCCCCCCCCCCCCCCTGGCAGTTTATATAGGACACTACTGTTGTGTTGTCCGTGTGGACCAGGACATGGTGACCTGACAAACGTGGTAGAAAGGTTTTAAAACCACCAGCAATTCTAGGCAGTTGATATGAAACTGTCCCTCCGTGCTGGTCCAAGCTCACCCCTGACTCCAAGAGACTGGGTTTCGACCAGGGCTCTGGTGCAGCCGTGGTTTACCCTGATATAGAGATGGCTTTAGCGCCATGATTGGGGGGAAACCTGTGGTTTTAGCCAGTACTGCAGTATGTGTAGCATACTCTGCGGACGTACTTATGAAGCAGAGACCATGAGGCCTAGCATCCTCAGAAAGGTTCTGCGGGGACTCTTGGTCCCCGCTCTAAACAAGCTTGCGAGTCGCTGAATAGCCAGAGAGCGTTTGTTCGATAGCCACGCCCTCATTGCAAAATTCATTCTTACCTGTTAAACGGAGGCATTTACAGACTGGTCTTAAGTTTAAAACAATGAGTTAAAGCTGTACACCACTATGTTTTCTGCAAAAAAAATAATCACAATAACAATATTTTTTAAACAAGTTAAAATTTCGACAAAATTCCAACCTAGATATCACCAAGTATGAATGTTTTGGTACCAAAAATAATGAATTATAGAAATAACCGGCCGTAAATGGAATTTGCCAAATGTTTGGGGGGTCAAACATAAAATTGGTGATTTTTTTACCTTAAGCTACCCACTAAGAATTGCTATCATGCATTTTTGTGGTCCTGGGACATCCCTCTGTTGAATAAAAAAGAGTAGCATTGGTGCCCTCTTATGAGACAAATTTCTGAAATTTGGGGGTTTGCCTCATGGACTATTTTACATTGTAATAAAGGCAAGATTCTAATTTTGTTATAATTTTTATCATTACACTAGTAAGAGTAAAAAAAAACACATTTAGAGAAAGAGATAGTAAAATAAAATACAACACCTGGTTGCCACGGAAACACTGATGCACCTTGTGATCTCCGTGGCTCTCGCAATTGTAGTATTAATGACTTTTACATGAAAACGGAGGTGACTGGTGCTTCTCACGGTGGTGATTATTATTAGTCTACGGAAAGTCAAAATGCCGCCACACCTCTGATTTGAATGAGTCAACGTCAACATCTATGCTTGCCGTCGCCATGTCTACTGTTTGACGGCGCGTGCACACCAGTCTATGGCACACACTGGTGCGGGGCGATCGGAGCAAACCGAGCGTTTTCATTCCTATGGAAGTTGAGCTAGGCTCACACAAGACCAAGTTCCATAAATGAAGTGAAAACACTCGCTATAGCTTCACGGCAGTGTGTGCTCGCTGCTATTGTGCTTGTAAAGCGAGGTTCACAACTTCACAGTAGGCTATATAGTAAACGCGCCCTGCTGTTTAAATCGTGTATCGCGATTCGTTTAAAGGGATACTCCACTTTTTTTGGAAATAGGCTCATTTTACAACTCCCCCAGAGTTAAACTGTTGAGTTTTACCGTTTTTGAATCCATTCAGCCGATCTCCGGTTCTGGCGGTACCACTTTTAGCATAGCTTAGCATACATCACTGAAGTGGACAAGACCATTAGCATTTCTCAAAAAAAAATGACCAAAGAGTTTCGATATTTTTCCTATTTAAAACTTGACTCTTCTGTAGTTATATCGTGCACTAAGACCGACGTAAAATGTAAAGTTGCGATTTTCTAGGCTGATATGGCTAGGAACTATACTCTCATTCCTGCGTAATAATCAAGAAACTTCACTGCCGTACCATGAGTGCAGCAGGCGTAATGATATGACGCAGCGCCTGAAAATAGTTCCGTTGTGTTGAAGGAAGGTGGCCTATTTTCAGGTGCTGCGTCATATCATTACGCCTGCTGCACTCATGGTACGGCAGTGAAGTTTCTTGATTATTACGCAGGAATGAGAGTATAGTTCCTAGCCATATCAGCCTAGAAAATCGCAACTTTACATTTTCCGTCGGTCTTAGTCCACGATGTAACTACAGAAGAGTCAAGTTTTAAATAGGAAAAATATCGAAACTCTTTGGTCATTTTTGTTTCAGAAATGCTAATGGTCTTGTCCACTCCAATGATGTATGCTAAGCTATGCTAAAAGTGGTACCGCCAGAACCGGAGATCGGCTGAATGGATTCAAAAACGGTAAAACTCAACAGTTTAACTCTGGGGGAGTTGTAAAATGAGCCTATTTCCAAAAAAAGTGGAGTATCCCTTTAACATTTCAACCGACTTGAATCGTCACACATTTTTATCGATTTTCAACCGGTTGCGAGTGAATCGTTACATCCCTAGCGGACATTATGCAAATGAGTTACCGCATTACGTATATGTCACAGAGGTGAGACTAGAATTCCTGACGACTCGTTTAGCCGGATCAGAGTCGATTCTTTCTTTTGGGAGACAATAACTTTATTTATCGTGCACTTTCAATTTTGAAGATCGTTTACATGCACAGACAGCTATATTACACACTGCATGAAAGTTAATATCTGAAAAAGCACAATAGTGGCACTTTAAGACTTTAATGTAAACACTCCCTTTGCCATGCTGTGGGTTTGCTGTTAAATCCAATATCGTTTTTTAACTGAAGTTTGTATTACATCGTGAAAGTTTCACAAAACAATCTGTACTGAGGTTTTCTTCTTCGTTCTATCATGGTCACAAAAAAATAAACATTTCCAACTGACAATGAATTGACCCCACAAAACTGCTGTGCCAAAATACAAAGGTCATTTTACTTCTCGTTTCACAGAGTGGGAAGTCTGAGGAGATCTTCAGTGCTCTGGTTACTCTGGGATATCCCCAAATAGCCCAGAGCTTAGACCGTCAGGTGGAGTATCTCGTGGTCTCTGATAATGATGAGGAAACGGATTTTGATAGCAAAGCTCATCTTGAGTACCAAAAGGGGAAAAACGGTCCCGCAGAAACTGCACAAAACAGCATCCAGATCGCATGGAACAGCAGTCAGGGGCTAAAAACTCACCATGGGACTGTCTCCAAACAGCTAAGTTCCACCATCAGTGTCCTTGAAGATCTTCAACAACGACTTCACCTTGATTCCAATGGCTCGCCAGTAAAAGCTCAGGACCAAAACACTCGAATGATCTCTGATAGCAAATGTGAGCACGTCAGCATCACACCTGGTGGATTTACAGGCTACGTTGAGGTTGACGAAGAGAAACGAGACCAAAAGCCCCTGGTAGGGGAGGACTACAGTATGGTCAGTGACGTTAACAGTGATAATATCCTTGTACTACAAGAAAGCATCCCTGTACAGGGACACAAAGAAGTCAAATGTGACAAAACATCTGCAGCCGAGGAAACTGGAGGTGTCATCGAACCTCTGGGATACATGGAAACCGTGACAACATTTTCAAGTGGATCTTGACTATTTTGTGACTTAAAATGTAGAGGTTTGGGACTATTTTGTCTTGTAGTGTCCTGTTCAAACTATCAAGCACTTTGTTAGTAGAGATGTGAGAAGGGTTATTTCAGAAATCTGTGGTGTGTTTCCCATACAATGATATTAAATGGCTGCTTAACTGCCATAGTACAATGCAATCATTGGAGAAATTAACTAGCTAGTCATGATTGTTTCCCAAAACCACTATTTTGTCATTCGAACTACGTTGGCTCAACAATCTAGAATTGTGTGGAGTAATAACTTCTGCTAATTAATCGGTTCATGATTGAATTAATGTCAGATTATTGCTGTAAGTAGGGATCATGGCATCTGAGGACTAAATCAGTATTTTAGTTTGCCATTATTTTGCTTATTTCCTAATGTCTGATTCAATCATGGGATGCTTGAGCACATTCACTCATGCTCACTTCAAAAACTGTGCTTTCATTCTCTTTCCAAACAAAAATTTCAACTCTGAAGTTTGTATACACTCACCGGCAACTTTATTAGGTACACCTGGAGTCAGTTTCAGTATAGTGAACCCATTTGAGATGATTTGAGCTTTGTGAAACGGTGCGTTATCCTGCTGGAAGTAGCCATTAGAAGTTGGGTACACTGTAGTCACTGTTGCCTTTCTAACACCTCTAATCATTTTGGCGCTTCTCTTCTGACCTCTGGCATCAACATGGCATTTTTGCCCACAGAACTGCCGCTCACTGGATATTTTTCAGACCATTCTCTGTAGATATGCAGACGCACAACGCGTGAAAACCCCAATAGATCAGCAGTTTGTGAAATACTCAGACCAGCCCGTCTGGCACCAACAACCATGCCAAGTTCAATCACTTAAATCACCTTTCGTCCCCATGTCTCAGTTTGAACTTCAGCAGATCTTCTTGACCATGCCTTAATGCATTGAGTTGCTGCCATGTGATTGGCTGATAAGATATTTGCCTTATTGAACTGGTGTACCTAATAAAGTGGCCGGTGAGTGTATATATGGAATTAAAGATATATATTGTACTACATTACCTTGCTTATTTTGCTCGAAAAGTCCATGTCATTTATAACAAGAAACTAGCTTGTAACTACAGGTTAAGAGCCGTACTTCCAACCATACAATTTTGTTTGCGAATACTTGTTGGAACTATGATTTTGGAAACACCAAGTCATTGAACTAAGTTGTTAACGACAAAACTTGCAACCATAGTTTGCTAACAATACTGTGAAATGCACCCCTTGTTGTGTTGTATCTGCACAACTACAGCTACAGCAATGGGTCGAAAAGGAGATTAAAAGACAGCATCATTCTTAACCTTTACAAATCGACCAAAAGCTGTTAAAAAATACCCCACTAAAAATAATTATATTAATTGTTAAACCTCTCGAAATGTTTCAACCTACTACCTCATTGCAGACATACAAAACACCACACTGGAGTTTCACCACTCTCTCTAAAGACCTGGCACTTTTCTTAATGCTTTTGCTGCTCCTGATCTTTTAAAGTTGATTGTTGTTAAGCATTTTTTATAGTTAATATGCAGACATGAGCCTTTTGTATATTTATTCACAATGATACTATGAATATAAAAAGTGTGAGATTTCTTTGGTCAAAACAACTAATGATTTTACGGTGTATTTATTGAACTAGATCTACTATTTGTGTCGCTCACAATCCTTTTTATTTATACTTAATTTAATCTTGATTTAACACTGATTCAATGTAAAAATTTTGCCTAAGCAAACTGTGAATGCATCCTTCTGATATACAACTAAATGAACTTGGAAACTCATAAAGACAATAACAAGAATTAAGACTAATGTCAAATAGATTAGGTCTGTGTAAAGCGCTGGCACGAACGGTTTGTCAAAGCCTTACTGCTGTCAAAGCTTAACCAAACACAAGGGTAGTGAGCCCAGATTGGTCTGGCAGGTCTTTGATGTTTTAAAAAAAATTAATTATATGGACCGCCTCAGAGGAGCTAGCTATAGTTACGGCGGCAGACATAGACGGGTCAGCTGGTCTCATCATGGAACATTTATGGTCTGCAGTGGAGCAGTAAAGAATTACTTTAAGTCAAACATTGACTTAACACTGTGCAAGGACAAACATTCGGTTCAGCATGAAAGAAAATTACTGTTGTGCAGCTTTTTTGTTTAGCTTAAATTAGAATGTAAGGCATTTGATTTCGTTTTTTTAATACCACCCATTGTGGTACATACTGCATTAATTTTGTTTGTGATGTGACGGTGTGAGCTCAAGACGTTTGAATATGATGTTGTGGAAAATTATTGTTAGCACAGAGGTGAATTGTTGTTTCTAGCATGAGCTCCTCACATTCTTTCACTGACAATGGCATGTGTAATGCAGTTTTCTATCCACTGCTGGACAAAGTCCATAGACACTTGCTAAAAGGTTAGGAATTGTTTTATTTTGAACCATTTCAATAAACACCAGTTTTGCATTTCATGTCTTAAGCTAAAATAAAAAAGTTATAATCAAAAAGTTGAACATTTTCTTAGTGAAATTCATGAAACAGTTAGAGAACTGATTCGGCCAAGAATTTGTGGTTTATTCCAGATCAGTTAACATTCTTTTCACATTCACAAGTAGCCTATAAACATAAATTTGTAGACCTAAGTCAGATGTTTGTGGTAGGGATAGATGTGATGGTGTTTCATTTGATAATGAAATTTAAAGTTCATCCAAAAATGTAAATTCTCTCATAATTCACTCACCCCAATGTCGTTCCAAACCCATAAGACTTTCATTCCTCTTCAAAACACAAAGATATTTTTAATAAATCCTGAGGGAAAGTCCAGGCGAGCAAAACTTTTACACAAAAAAAAGTTCATGAAGACATAAAATAATCCATATGAATCAAGTGGATTACTGTTTTTATGTGCTTTTATATGTGTGTTAATGTTTACATGTGAATAAAAATCTAAATTAAATTTGTTCATCAAGTAAAGTGATCGTGTCTCTTCAGAAGACAATGTCTTTATGACCTTTGCTAAGTTTTAGGTTAATGGACAGACAAAAATCTCTTTTTATTATTTTTTAACATGAACCCTTAAAGCACTACATAGGCTATACATTTCTGACATCTATGAAATTTATATTGGTATTCCAAAGACAAGGCATTTCAGACACAAGATCATTTATTGCAATGAATTTATTGCAAATACTGGAGAAAACTCTAAAACCTTCACAATCACAATGTTTTGGTCCCAAGGTCAACATTCTGAAACTACACAGAAGCAGGGCAAAAGGTTTATATGTGAAAAATAGTGTTACTACCGAGTGAAGTTGTGAATTGTTAGCTCTATGCTACATGAATATACCATAAACTCGACTACACAACTGCATAACACACACATTCCCTATTAACTGCAGCCGATAGCATAAAGACATAGAGCTAAACTCACATTGAGAGATTTAAGGAGAACCACCTCAAGAACTCAGTATTAATGGATTAGCTAGTGCTGAGGAACAGCCAGAGGAGGGTTAATAAATTTAAAGTGGAGACTATGATTTAGGTAAGTGATGTTTAATAAGTTCTAGGACTAGGAGGGAGAGGTATTCCTACAAACAGTTCACGGTCGTAACAATCATTCGCTTATGAGTCTTCAGGATTAAACGGCAACCTGCCAATAATGATGATACGTGGGCTGCAAACACAGTGGTCATGATCAGTAAAATTGTGCATTCAACATAAGCAAAATACATTTGATTTACAAATGTAAACATATACATAAATTAAGTGGTTTAGATCATTCCTATGATTTTATCAAACTATTACACTCATTTGAATAGAAATAGAGGGACATTGGCTATTTGCAAAAATATTCACCATTCATTCACACTATGGAAACATCAAACTAAGTATGATTTCTATAAGAAAATATGTAGTCAAGGGCTGTTCGCTATTATCAGCTGTATTGCCTCTTGATTTAATACACCATTCCAGGTCACAGGAAAATATGTTTACATTTTTTAATAAAATCCTCTAGACAGGCACATTTGGTATTTCAAGCTATTCCTGACACATCTCACAACAAGGTGCTAGAGGCTCACATGGGGTTGGAAACACGGTAGTGGATCCGTTTCCGTGTCACAGAAGCATGATCCGACACTGCAAAAAAACAAAAACTATTTTTTTTGCCTCTTGCCTCATTCGTCTATGAACTTCCATCAACTTCCTTCATCATCTTCCAGCAGCTGCTCTGAACCAATGGAAACGGATGAAAACTGGTCCTCGAAATTCAGGAAAGGGTGGTTGTAATTTTTCTCAAGCATTTTCCTCCAGATTTTAACTGTGAAAAGAACAGATTAAAACCAATGGGTGAATCAAAATGCAGTGAGCAAATCATTCTTATACATTATTACTTTTCAGATCAAAATATGTAAATAAATGATTAGCACGTTAATGATGCTTTCAAAAAGTCCTTCCAAGCGGATTCATCAATATTTGGCTAACGTGACTTATGGTAATGGTCGTTTCCGACACTCTCTGTAAGCTGTAGACCAATCACAACAGACTGGGCCATCTGACCAATCAGAGCAGAGCAGTCTTGCAGAAAGGAGGGGTTTAGAGAGACTGAATCCTTTATCAAACAGTTTCAGACACTAGCTACGTTTACATGGTCACCTTATGTTTAATCAGAATGAATTCATTCTGATTGATGAATCCGAACGTAGTGTTTACATGAACACTAAATAAAGTGTTCGGGTTGATGTGCGGGTTTATATGTCACAAGCTTTTAATTGGAATGGCTTATGTCATGCGCACACTGCACAAATATAGAAAATTCTGCTGTTTGCGCATACTACTCTAATTGCTGCTTTTCTTTGATTTCGGGTCCCAATTAGGAGACGACCAGCGCATAAACTGTTGTGCCATGTCGCTTATATTAATCAAGCAGTAAAAACGACCATTCCCGTGCCCAAAACAAAGCAGCGTCTGTGGATGAGAGTCCCAAACAAGGACTGGTGGGACGTTGTCTTGCTCCACTTCAAAGATGATGAGTGGAAGGAGAATTTTAGAATAACACAACAGTCATTTATGATGCTTCATTCATTCAGCTCGTTCCATACGCCATTTCTACTTCATTGCACATGCGTAGTACTTTTCAGTTTCGTTTTCAGTCTGATCAAGTGTTTACATGTCCTCTTGATCGGATTTCAAAAGGTTTAAAACCACCCCTTGCAATCCGAATGAATACGAACGGATCTGACCAATTCATTCCGATTGACGTGGTTACATGTGACTTTTTTATATCCCGAATCCCGATTGTGCTAGTAGTCCGATTACAATCGGATTATTAGGGTCCATGTAAACGCAGCTACTGTTAGAAAAGCGGTGATGCTGCAATGTATATTATGAAAAGATTCAAGTGTTTTTTAACCTTGGATGCATGTCAACCTATTGTAGGAGACCTCCAAAACAAAATTAGGAACCTTTAAAATAGCATAATAGGGGCACTTTAATTTCACTGTGGCCCTTGTTAGTTAAAGGGTTAGTTCACCCAAAAATTCAAATGCTGTCAGTAATTACTCGCCCTCATGTTGTTCCAACCCCGTAAGACTTTCGTTCATCTTCGGAACAGTGGCTCAACCTTAAAGGGATAGTTCACTTTGGAATTATTTTTTGGTATGTTTTAGCTTACCTCAAGGGCATCCAAGATGTAGGTGTCTTTGTTTCCGCTGTAGTTTCAATTTTGATATTTTTAGGTCAAACCGTTCTTGTCTGTCAGTCATATAATGCAGGTCTATGGTCACCACCTCAAAGAGCATGCACAGAGAAGTCCAAATTAAACATGATTTAATGACTCGTAAATGTAAGTACACATTGATGGCCTAAGACACGAAACGAGCGGTTTGTGTGAGAAAAAGAACAGTATTTATATAGTTTTTGCCTCTTGTAAACACAGCCACGTCCAAGTGATCTGAGGGCGCTTCGGTCTTTTCCGGCAAGCACTGGAAAGCGCCGGAAGTGATCTCTCGCGCGTGTACGTCAATCATACAATTTTTTTCTTTTTTTTTTCCTTTCTTTTGCGACGGTTTAAATATCCCGGATAAGCGCAAATTAGTACCATTTTAATTAGCTGTCTTACCTACAATCTCTGTTCTGTGTAAACAATGAGTGGCGCGAGAGATCACTTCCGGCGCTTGCCAGAAAAGACCGAAGCGCCCGCGCCCTCAGATCACTTGGACGTGGCTGTGTTTACAAGAGGTAAAAACTATATAAATACTGTTCGTTTTCTCACACAAACCGCTCGTTTCGTGTCTTAGGCCATCAATGTGTACTTACATTTACGAGTCATTAAATCATGTTTAATTTGGACTTCTCTGTGCATGCTCTTTGAGGTGGTGACCATAGACCTGCATTATATGACTGACAGACAAGAACGGTTTGACCTAAAAATATCAAAATTGAAACTACTGCGGAAACAAAGACACCTACTGTACATCTTGGATGCCCTTAAGGTAAGCTAAAACATACCAAAAATTAATTCCAAAGTGAACTATCCCTTGTATCCCCGTTTGTTCACGTAGTGTAACAGCGCAACGCTACGTCAGAACGTAGGCTCACTATTGAGCCACTGTAGACTATTTTAACAATGTTTTTATTTACTTTCTGGGCCGGCAAGTTTCAATTACAATAGAAGCCTATGGAGGAGTGAGACAGCTCTCAGATTTAATCAAAAATATATTAATTTGTGTTCCGAAGACGAAAGAAAGTCTTACGGGGTTGGAACAACATCAGGGTGAGTAATTACTGACAGAATTTTCATTTCTGGGTGAACTAACCCTTTAAGAAATGCGTCAATTCCAGAGAATTCACATTTTCAGTTCTCATTTTAGAGAACTTTGAGCACACATTGTGTAAAAGAATCTAATTTCATCAATTTTGTGTAGATCTTACACAATATCTGTACACTACACATTTCATCAATCACTGATACAGTTTCACAAAAACTCTTGGGGCAATTCATGGCTGGCATACCTATAAACAAAGCAAATAAGTTACCGGTACACATTTAAGAGTTACGAGTATTTTAACAGAGTAGTTAACTAAGAGAATATTGAAACAGTATTGCACGCAAAAGCAATGAATTCACACTATTTTTAGGTTTTTAATTAGGACGTACTGTACTCTGGCTCCTCTGTTCCAGAAGGTTCTCCCGACGGCTCCACCTCCTGTAGCTCCTCCTGCTGTTCCTGCGATTCTGTCTCCGGATTTGCAATCATCACCTCATAGGCTTTCCTGGCCTCGGCTGATAACTCAATCATTTTGTGATAAAGGTCCTGTGGCCATGAAATAATTACATGTACAGGAATCAGCAAAATTCACTGAATTAATACAATCAGTTAAGTATAATGACTTATTTTAAATTTACAGTAATGCCACTCAAGATTCTTAACAAGAATCAACAATATTTACCACAACTACAACCAGAAACCTCTAGTACTCACCTGTGCGCCATCGTAGTTAAAGATCCCCACCAAGCTGACGGGGACGGCTTTATTAACACAGCGGCCCAGCGCCTTTCTCGACAAGGCAAACACAAACGGGACACCTTGATCCCGGCATGTGTCAATGATAGTGTGAAGAGCCTCATCTAGACCTCCTACATTAAAACAACAGGCCATCAATCAGCAACAACATACAAGCTGCAACATGAATCATGTGAGTTTGTGCTAAGTTCACGCTACCTTTGGACTGTATACGTTCACAGTTGGGCGAGATGATAACGCACTTGACCTTCCTGAGTTTGAGGTGTTTCAGCACCTCTCGTAGGCCCATGACCAGCCTGCGCTTCATCCTGGCCTTCATGGGGTCTTTCTGATAAAGACGATCCTGAAACCTCACCAGCTCCTTCAGTAAGCTGCTCACACATTCATCTACGTCTTTTCTAAGCACTTGGTTGCAGTAGCTGTAGAAATAGAAGAAAACTATGTTAACTACAAATGAATAATAATAATTATTATTATTACTACATTTATTTTCTTCCATCACTTGAAAAGATGTGAATTTCAGGACACAGACATTAATTTCATCATGTCTTAGTCTTTTTGGGAACATATCTTGCATATCTTTGAGAAACAAAACTATAACCTAGGGGTGGGCGATATACCAATAGAAAGGATTAACGGCTAGAAATTTGTCAACCGATAGAGATTTTGGACTATTGTCTCTATCGCGGTTACGCGCTTGTGTAACGTTTCTGTGCTGCGTGCGTGTCACAAAAGCTTAACGTTTGCATTCGATTTAAGCATTATGGTTTAAAAACAAGTGATTTTAAACCGTTGAAGCCGCGAAAGACCACTCATTTTGCTATATTCGCGTACTGTCTGTTTCTGAGTGCTGTCTAGGCGAACGTGAAGCCGCTGTGTGTACTAAACGGAGTTATTTTTGACGCTTTATTGGCCTTGAATGGTTTAATACTCTCACAAAATGCCTGTCTTCACAAGTATCGTAGTAAACAGTCATAACAGTTGCGAAAGGAAACGCATGTGTAACTGTATAATGGATCCGGGCAGCTCTTAAAGTGACAGCCCAATATTCCTGGTATCTGTCATTCATGTTCATCAAACAACAAAAGAGAAAATCACTCACTGCTCTTGACAAAAACACTTTTTGTAATTTTAACAAGAACAATGTATATTTAATTTACACATTGAAGACCACGCAGTGTTTTCTTTATAAATTTGACAACTTTATACAATTTATGTAGCATTTCTTATTTAGCGCTTGAATTTTTTCAGGTAGGACTATTTTAGTTGTCCTATTTTAAAATTGTCCTATTGCTTGTAATTAATTAATTTGTTCTTATTTTATAACTTAATGTTCACATGTCTTCAGTAAGCTGGAGTTTTTTTGTTGTTGTTTTTAGTTAGGCTAGTATTAGTTTGTGATATTGACATTGGTGACAAGAATTATGAAATTATGTCTATGGTATCTCAAATTTGTATATTACAAAAACCTTATTTAAAGCAAAAATGACTCTATCGTCATGATATACATTGTTATAGTGTATTAAAAAGACTCATATCGTGATTATAAGATTTTGGTCATATCGCCCACCCCTACTATAACCAAAACATAACATTGATTTTCTTACTCTCTGAACTTCCTGCTGTGGATTTTGGGAAGATTGGGATTGGAATTGGGATTCCAGGATTTTAGTGTTGCATTTTCTGGCACACTGTCATCCAACTTGTGATCAGATGGCGAACCAGGCTGGTCACACTCTGACTCCTCAGTACCAACGAGTCCAGGGTTCTCATCTATATCTGATACAGATTGTGAACATACTTCCATACTTGTGAGAAGATGCTGATCATTGTCAGGCAGGCTCGTTTCAGAAGGATTCTCACTATTACTAGTTTCCTTTTCAGCAGCTTCAGTGGATACTCGGGCCGGGTCTCTCTCCTCCAGCAGGCGGTTCTGTTTTCTCTCCTCTCTCTCCCGAAGAATGACCTCAATTGTTCAAAACATCTTTTAGAATGCTTATTAAAAACAGAGAGATTCAAAATGCACTGAATTGTTTTTTTTAAAGGTGTGTGATTTCTGCACTAATAACAGCACCAAATATAAATGATAATTCTGTTTGACGACACCAGTGGCACAGAAATGACACACTGCACCTTTAAATGGACACTGGACTCACTCTTTTGAGAGGTGTTGGTTTTTTCGCCTTGGGAACTTCTCGCTGTTTTCCCTTCTTCACTAAGGGACAAGTGGAGTCCAGCGGGTTGTGCGGTGTTTTCTCTTGCTGCCATTGCTTTTTCTGAACTGAAGTTTCTTTGTGGACTACAGGTAGAGCTCCTCCAACTAACACATCAACAATAGTATTTGTTATATTCGACGTGGTGACTAACATCATGGTGTCCTATGAAGTCTTTAAAGGGTTAGTTCGCCCAAGAATGAAAATTCTGCCAACATTTACCCACCCTCATGTCGTTCCAAACCTGTTTGACTTTTGTAAATCTTCAAAACACAATTGAAGATATTTTTAATTAAATCTGAGAGATTTCTGTCCCTCCATTGAAAGTCTATTCACCCAGAACTCTTGACGTTTCAAAACGTTTATAAAGAGAAAGGAAACGTAATCCATATGAATTGAGCGGTTTAATTCGAGTCTTCTGAAGAGACATGATCAATTTATATGAACAGATTCTAACTTAGGCTTTTATTCACATATAAACATTGATCAGCAAATGTACATAGAGTAGAGTGCTCAAATTTGGTAAAATGGAAGCTCAAACGTGCTCGCTTGATGCATGAGAACCAATGAGGTTCATTCTCGCGTCACGCCAGCACGTTTGAGCTTTTGCCAGAACCAATGAGGTTTGTTCTTGCACATAAAGCAAGTGCGGTTGAGCTTCTGTTTGCTTGCTGATCAATGGCTTCATCCGAAATCGCATACTTCCCTACTATATAGTAGGCGAAAACCAGTAAGTATGTCCGAATTCACAGAACTCATAAAAGATTAGGCAAAAAGTACCCGGATGACCTACTACTTCTGGCGAGATTCTGAAGTGTGCATCCAATGGACAGTTTACTATCCCATGAGGCCACGGGAGAGGATTTGTAAATGCAAGTGAAGCGGTGTAACTGACGCTGGAAAGTCAAATGATAATGACAACATGGCGAATGTAGTACGTCCGTATTACATTCATACTATATAGAACATACTTTTTTTTAGCAGTCATGAAGTAATTACGTATTCAAAAGAAGTACCTACTTAAGAGAGTATGAGATTTTGGACGCAGTCAATTTATTTATATGTGAATAAAAGCCTTAGTTAAATCAATTCACCTTCAGAGGAGTTGGATTAAACCGCTCGATTCATATGAATTAATTTTACATTCTCTTTATGAACCGTCTGTGTTTTGGGTGAATAGACTTTCAATGGAGGGACAGAAATCTCTCAGATTTCATTATAAATATCTTGATTTGTGTTTCGAAGATGAACAAAGGTCTTATGGGTTTGCAACAACGAGCAGATGATGACAGAATTAAAAATTTTGGGTGAACTATCCCTTTAAATGCATTACACCAACCAGAAAAGCAACAAAAAAAAAGTGTCTCCACTTATAATTCTTACCGGAAAGTGTTACTGGTCGCTGATCTTGTTTAGATTTTTGAGACTGTTGCTTCTGCTCAAGAAATGCCAGCATGTTTCCAAGGTCAAGCTGTACAGGAACCTTTGACTTTTTCTGACTAGTCTGATGAGATAAGATAAGAATCAATTACAATGTGCGACTGTCTCGTTTTTCAGAAAAATCATTTAGTGATTCATTTTACATTGCATGGTATTGTCAAGTTCAATCAGATTTAACTGTACACCCTTATACATGATGGACAGAGTGTTTTGTTTTGCAATTGCACTGGAAACAGACACCAACCTGTGTTTTCTTAGCGTCACCGGAGGCATAAGCGGGTGTAGTGGCTTTGTGTTTTATCCCTGGGTGTAGAGACAATCGCTCTTTTTGTGCTTCTGAATGTCCTTTGAGTTCCTGAATCAATGTAATTACAGATGATACAATAAAGCATGTGCATATCAAACATTTTATTTGAACTGCTGGCATCACAATGTGCTCAGGCCAAAAGAGTAAACTCACAAATGCAAGCGACAGGTCTGGAAACTCCTCTTCATCCTACAAAAACAACACTTAGATAATCACCATTATGCTTCTAATGTGGGTTAACGATCAAACATAAGAAAATGAAGGGTGAAAAAAAGCAATATTTCAACAATTAAAATGAAATATTATCAAAGTGCAAACCGGTGAGCTTCTAAAACCAATGTATACCAGTTATTTTAGTATTATTTATATACCATTATATGTACTTTTTATTTTCAATTTTAATTTTAGTTTCAGTTTGTGCATTTTTGTTCGTTTTTTATATTTCTATACACCTTTAGTTTTAGTAATTTTAGTACATCATCTTGAACTAATGTCAGTTAGTTGCCAAGGCAAAGCATCTTTTTAAAGTTTTTCATCTAATGTTAATATTTTATTTCAGCTTTATTTATTTTTTTAAGTTTTAAAAATTATTTAATAGTTTGATTCAACAATAAAGACAAAGATTTAAACACCATTCACCAATTAGTAACAACTGAAACATGAAAATTCTCAAATCTAATTTCAGAAAATATCATATGATGTGACATACTATACATTACAGGTTTTACCTCAAACTTCGGTGGCTCCTGCTGTATCAGATGTTCCTCTAGTGTCTCTTCTGTGTTCTCAGATACGGTTTTGGATTTCTTCTTTTTCTTCCTCCTCTTCTTCTCTGTTTTCTGCTCTACTTGCTGTGTGGATAAATCCTCCTAGACACAGAAAATGTGTGCAAATTGTGTCTATTTTGTATAGTACATGCTCAAAATGCTGATGGACAGTGAAGTAGTTTACCTGGGAAGATGTGTTGGCTTTGGGGATTTTCTGGATGACTCTGGGAGGCTGAGAGGCAATATTTGCCCAGGAGTGAGCAGAAGATCCAGTGGGATTGGATACTGCACTATCCTGATCTAATCAGATTGGAATTAAAAAAAATATGATCCATTTAATTCCTTTAATATTGAATTGAAATATCTAATTAAAAAAAGATTCACAACCCATTTCCGAAACATGATATATTTCCCAGTGAGATGAAACTGAATATTCAATTTATTTATTTTCCTTGAAATAACATGAACTGACGACTTGTGCAAAAAAAAAGAAAAAAAGAAGACGTGTATTATTAAAGTTGGCATGGAACAGAAGTTGCGATGGTGTTTTCTTCCCTATTGTTACATATATATTTGGGTGAAATGGCTTCTCGAACAAGAACAAAATTTAGGTTGGGAATTAATTTTGTCAATCTGGAATTGATCGGGTCAATAGATTGTTATGGTTTGCGATTGCTGTGATGTCATGTGAGTGACAGGTTGTCCTCGCACCAGTAAGCACGTCATCAGAGAACAGAAGAGATGTCGCTGCAAGTGGGAGGGGTTTTGATTAAAGATTACAAGGGCACATAACTTAAAAAAACAAAACAATGATGTGCACAGATAAATAATGTATAATACATACTGCAGTATTCCATAAAAAAATAAGAATGGTCAATTTTGATTTCATGGTGAATTTAGGGAAATAAATAGGGTCCATTTTGATTTCTGAAGCATGTTTGCACATCTTTACCTGCTTTGACAGCTAATGACATGTCACACTTTCCACTGGACGGGACTTGCTGTGCAGACTTGGTTCTTCGTTTCGGTACATTCTAACAAAAAACATTGCCAAGCTTCAGTGAGACCGTGAAGTTGTTAGAAAACAGCTTGTGCTTTAACAGAACAATGTGTTCTTTGGCTCAAACCATCATCCATGAAAGTTACCTTACAAATTAGTGCTGGTGAACTCTGACGCTCTGCTGGCATGACTGCACTAGAACATACTGTTGGCTCCTGGTGCAGGGAAGCTGCTGTATGGTTGCTTGGTGTGATATCACCCAATTCCGGGAAATCGGCAAGTTTCATTTCAAATGTGCTACTACATGTAATGGCTGATTTGGCTCTCTCAGCAGGGTTTGGGGAAGGCTTGGTCCCTCTGTAACCTGAACACAGAATCAAATTGATTACGATTTAATCAGGAAATTATTATCAAAAGGCTTCTTGAAAAGAATTAGCACCTCTGTCTGTTGATCTCCGGCTAAGTCTTTTGTCCTGAGAGGAAGGCTCAGCTCTGTTGTCCTTTGACATCTGAAAGATGAAAAACTTCATTAGGCTTTTAAATGCGCAACAGTATGAAGATGCAAATCATCCAAATGGCCATACTAGAATCAGACCTTTCCAGTTTGCTTGTTTGAGCCTTCTTTTAAACCACTGCGGGTGTTGAAATCAGCGCTCTTGTTGGTGTGAAAGCTGCTGTTGTAGCCGTGCATTCTCTGTGCCGCGTCATAATGATTGTCTACTGATCTCTGCCTTTTCTTGAACCAGTCCTCAGGTGATAACTGGCATGTGGTGTTTTTAGATGGAGTTCTGTGTGTAATAAAAAAAATCAAATTATCATATTTTCATATGTATCATACTGTTATTCTTCACTGCAATGTGATGTACAGTGGCCCCAAAATGCAGTAGGACAATTCAATCAAACGATATACAGTTTAAAATGAAGACAAGAAATATTGTAATGCTGTCAAATTGTAGTGAAAAAGGGATAGTTCACCCAAAAATGAAAATTTTGTCATCATTTACTCGCCCTCAAGCCGTTCCAAACTCATAAGACTTATCTTCGAATAAGTTAATCTTCGAAACACATATGAGAAATTCTGTCATCATTAATCACTCACCCTCATCTCGTTTCAAACCCGTAAGACTCAAGTTCATCTTCGGAACACAAATTAAGAACTTTTTTATGAAATCTGAGAGATTTCTGTCCCTCCAACTGAAACATTGACACTTTAAAAAGTTCATAATAAGGTTGTAAAACTAACCTATATGAAATTGAGCCGTTTCAAGTCCAATTTTTCTGAAGAGACACAATCGCTTTATATGATGAACAGCCTGAATTTAGGCTTTTATTCTCATACACATTCATTAACTCAAACATCAGTTGTGGTAAATGGAAGCTCAAGCATGTTCACTTGATGTGCGAAAACCAATGAGGTTCATTCTCGTGTTACGCAGCACGTTTGAGCTTCTGCAAGAGGTTTGTTCTTGTGAGTCAAGTGAGCTTCTGTTTATGCTTGCTGATCAATGTTTATATGTGAATAAAAGCCTAAATTCAATCTGTTCACCATAAAGCGATCGAGTCTCTTCAGACAATTTGGACTAAATCCAATTCAAATGGATTAGTTTTAAGATTTCTTTATGAAGTTTTTGAAGCGTCAAAGTGGTAGTTGCGTAGCAGTCAATTGAAGGACAGAAAACTTTCAAATTCCATAAAAAAGATCATCATTTGTGTTCTGAAGATGAACGAAAGTCTTAAGGGTTTGGAATTTCATGAGAGTGAGTAAATGATGACAGAATTTTCATTTTTGGGCGAACTATCCCTTTAAGATATTTGTAATGAAACCTGAGAGGTTTCTGTCCCTTCATTGAAAGTCCAGGGAACCAAAATGTACAAGATCTAAAATGGTCATAAAGACGTTTTAAAATTAATCAAGGCAAGTCTTGTGGAAAGACACGATCGGTTTATATGATGAACAAAACAAGAAAAAAAGAAAAAAACTTGATTAATATGGATTCATATTATGACGCCTTTTTGGATCTTCTAAGTTTGGCTAGCTAAACTAATGATAAAATACACCTGTGGTTACTTTGATAGAACACCTGTGAGGCCTTTCAAAATGGCACAGGAAGCCATCGTGGCCACAAATTAAGAATTGATTCCCACAAACTCATGTTTTAGGTAAATCTGGGTCATGCTGTACGAATTCATTCCCGAGTTTTAATTTAGTTAAATTGTGGCTAGGATTTCCCCAAAGCACTTATTTGATAGTTTATTATATTATGCAGTGCAATTTCAATTAAATATCAATGACATTTTTTGTATCTCAGTCTTTTGGGGGCACTGAATGTGCTTATTTGAAAAAATTATATTATGTTGATGAATCATATTTCTCAATGCTGGCCTGCTTTGACTGGAAAATAAAGACAGGTGCCACATATAATCACTTATATTTACCTTTCTAAATGATCCTCCATTTTGTCTTGCTGTGGAAGGCTATGAATCAAACAACTTCAGAGGTTCAAAAACTCCAGCCTTCATTATCTGTGAACATAGAGACAGGTTCAAAGAACATAATGATAACAACACGCAGGAGCTGAAACATGTAGTGCACAAATCTGCGTTTAAACAAACGATGCTGAATCCATGTGTAAATGACAAATAATGACGCAGCAACCCGAAGTTAAAGACTGCACCACTCAGTAAACAATATTATGTCATAATCCACTCAAAGTCACATTCGGTTAAAAATACGGTTTAATATTTTAATACGGTTTAAAACTGACGTTTAACATTTCATCGGTAAAGGTATATTTTAGCAGGACTGTTGTCGTAATTGAGATGTAAGTTAATGGATCGGTTAGCAGCTGTACTGAAGTGAACATCATGCAAACTTTGATTCAAACTTAACGTTAGATACTGCCTTACATGTCAAATAACATGTAGAGGGTCAGTGTGACGCATGTTTAGCTGTCGACAGCTTTCGGCAGCTCTTCTGTGTCGGGTTCACCAGCATGAGATTTCTAGATAGCTCGTTGTTTAGACGAGCTAATGTCAACACAGTCATGCTGATAAACGTTTATGGAAAACCAACAAATAGTAAGAGCTTTCATACCTTCCGGCCTTTAACAAACTCCATTTTAAAAAGACGTACGTTCGGCTCAGATGTAAAACTGGTAGGCCAAATAATTAAAGATTAAGCTCAAAGTTGACAACAAGCTCAGGCGGTGCGGGAACTTTTATTTTGAAGGGTGGTCTGATACATTACTCAACACTTGGTGGTTGCAATGTGTGATATTCAGCAGATACATTAGTTGATAACCTGTTTAATATATACGTGAAAAAAAAAAACGTTCTTTATGTTGCAAGAACTATTTTGTTCTGCGAGTTTTATAACGATAACCATTTTCTCAACATCCAAAGTAAACCTAAGGAAAAAACAACTTCGATGCAATGCAAATGAATACAAAAATTAAGATACATTTTAAATAATGTAATAGACAATCATCTTTATTGTTTTATCAATTACATTCAGAAATACACATTTTGATATAAGGGTCAATGACATGACATGTATTTTTTGTGTCCAAATTCATTATTTTCCTAAAAAGAATTTGAATAAATACATGTCATAGATCAAATGGATCTACAATATGTCCTTTATAAGAAACCCTTTTCATTTTATTGAAATTCAATATATTTTTTGAGTTTTGGTGTTTGAAAGACCAAAAATGTCAGGTGGTGCGACCGTCCGAACATACAAGCAGAGAACAAAACTGAGATATAAATGTTCATTTTCTCAATAAAATTCTTAATCAAATATTTTGGCATGATTTTATGTTAAATTCCTTATAACTGAGGGGAAATAGTGTATCGGTCCTATTTCAAAACTATTATATTACTTAAAAAACTTTTGTCCGAAAAATGTACTTCTACTAATGTCAGGGAGGGCGACCGACATAAAAATGCAATTTTATGCAATGTTCCTTTAAGAAAATCATGTGACAGCATATGACATCACACAGAAGACTCCAGAGGACCCCTTTGATGCAGTAACAAGGTTAGTCACCCTCCCATAAATATTAGATAATTTGACATTTTTGAGTAATGATGAGGTTGATTCAACTTATCATGTCAGGTGGTATGACCCCTGGAAAACTTTGAAAATGTGTTGTTATTATAAAAATGTGTATTTGATTTAAAAAATGTATGTATAACCTTGAGCACATGGTCAAACATTTGTATAGGCGTCCAAGTTAATGCCTGTTAGATTTGAATTGAATTTGAAATGTCAGGTGGTGCTACCAATATGTCAGGTGTCGCGACCAGAGTTACAATTAAACCAACTAAAAAAAGTAATGTTAATTCATGTTTTTGAATATATTAAATACATTTTAAATAAATATATAAAGCTTTTAAGTTGTTTAAAGGTGCAATCTACATATGTATATATTAGGGGTGGAACGGTACACAGAAGTCACGGTTCGGTTCATACCTCGGTTCAGACATCACGGTTCGGTACGATTTCGGTACAATGGAGGGAAAAAGCAAAACAAAAATGCAGAAGGCATTGTATTTTTTAAATAAGTTTTATTAATAAAGGCATAGAACCAGTTTATTTGTAGTGCACTGACAATAGTTTTATATAATTAGTTTATTAATTAAATTAATAAAAAGACAAAAAGACCTTGCGATATGTTTGGTAATTGTACTATTAATTTAAAATTATTTTGCTATATTTCAGATCAATATATTTGTTTTCCTTGATTTTAATTAACCTTATTAATTGACAATGTAACATTATTCTCAACTGAATTATAAATAATTGAATTCTGTATAAAATAATACTACCATTAAAAACTGTTTTGAAATGGAGTTGGATAAATATGTTTTGCTTTTAAAACAGTGTGTGTGTGATTTTGGTTGGGTGACAGTTGTAGGTTACAGTTTGACAAGAGTTTACAGTGTGACAAAAGCACATGTTGTGTTTTATTGCGAGTGTACACAAATATAAGTAAACACTTTGCAGGTTTAATGATCTGTATAAACAAAATCTCTCTCTCTCTCTCTCTCTCTCTCTCTCTCTCTCTCTCTCTCTCTCTCTCTCTCTCTCTCTCTCTCTCTCTCTCTCTCTCTCTCTCTCTCTCTCTCTCTCTCTCTCTCTCTCTCTCTCTCTCTCTCTCTCTCTCTCTCTCTCTCTCTCACACACACACTCTCCAGCATTGCAATCTTGACATCGCAGCCTGTTCATTATGCGGTCACACCAAACGCGAATTGAGCTTCAAATTCGCGTCTAGTTTGACGCTAGTCCAAAGCGAATAGGACGCGCGTATAAAGCCAACGATTGAAGTGAACGCGCGTTCAGAGCTAAGCCGATGGTACAGATTATGTGTCCCTAAAGAACCCGTGTATCTAACAATAGTTCCGCATTACATTAATTAATTTGCACGCGAGTTTTATTTATTTTTATACCGTGTATTCTCCGTGTAAATTCGTGCACCGAACCGTGACACCAGTACCGTTTCGGTTCGATACGACTACATTAACCGTTCCACCCCTAGTATATATATATATATATATATATTATTATGGTATGAGTGACAATTTAAAGAGCACATTGTCCATCTTAAAGTCCTATTCTTCAAGAATATAGGACTGTATAATCAACATTGATACTAAATTGCATCTTTATTTCTTTAAATTAATCTATTTTAATTTGTTTTTGTAGATGCCATTATCAAGCAAGGAGAAAACCGCACGACATAGAGCTCCTTTAAAAAGTGATCCAGTTGCAAGGGCAGAGTACCTTGCCAAAAGAAAAGCAAGGTATTGTGTTCATTATGTATATCTAGATACCTTACAACTGAAGTTAATATGGTATTCTGTTATTTTTTTGTGGTAATTACAGTTATTACATGTTTATAATACATACTTGATAGCAGTGTCATACAGCATTACAGAAAAGCATAGTTATTAGTCATGAATTCGAATGATTAACAAACCATTACCCATTCTATTAAATATTTTAACTAAAATAATTTATTTTACAAATGATATGTTACAGGTGAAACTCACACAATTTGAATATCATGCAAAAGTTATTTTATTTCAGTAATTCAAGTTATAAGGTTAAACTAATATATTATATAGACTCATTACATGCAAAGCAAGATATTTCAAGCCTATTTGTTATAATTTTGAGAATTATGGCTTACAGCTTAAGAAAACCCCAAATTCAAAATTAGAATATTGTGAAAAGGTTTTCATAGCTTGAAATATCTCACTTTGCATGTAATGAGTCTATATAATATATTAGTTTCATCTTTTAAATTGAATTACTGAAATAAATTAACTTTTGCACGATACATTTTTTGAGTTTCACCTCTCCCATATATTTTCATTTAAATAAAATAGAAGGGGTCTGAAACCATGTATCTTTTATAGAGATAGGTATGTTGTACATTGCCATTAGTAAGCTTGTTTACATCTTAATCACCCACAACTCTGTCATTCTTTTTTTTTAGTTATGAAAAATGATGGAAAAATAGTGAAAAAAACAATAAGTCAGCTTTCCAAAGCACAACAAGAAAAAACGAGGCTGTTACTACTGAATCTAATTGCATGAGCAGTAGATTGAATTCTGCCCTTAATGTTTCTGGGCCCAATATTTGCACTAATTCACTGTTCCATGTAAAATATGTTCTCATTTATTAAATGTGTTCCTTGAGGTTTCAAAGTTATATTTTTAAAGAAGCGATGATCAAATGTTATCATAACATGCAGTATTGTTTTGCACTTTCTTGTTAATGAAATGTAATTACATGATTGAGATGGTCAGAGGATTAAAATAAAAAAGCCAATTGAAACCTGAATAAAATTTATTGACATATCTTTCTTTTTATTTTGTGAATATCAATCATTATTGATCACAACGTCAGGTGGTGCGACCGGTCATGGTCAGGTGGTGCAACCAGCAAATTTATATTTAAATGTATCAATTCCCACTGCAATTGCAAAATGAAGTAAGAAATATAAATGTAAACCTTTATATAACGTATACAAATAATTTTTACAGTTAAAAACAAAATATAAAAAGTCCTTATAGAAAAATGGGTGTTTGAACACACAGAAAAGCAGCCGTTTATATGATTTGGAATAAAAGGGCAATAAATAAAGAAATAGAAAGGGAATTTACCATGTGATATGCATTTTCAACACTACAATGATTCATATTTACAAGTCTCAGTAGTGGTAAGTACATTAAATATATATTATTTTAAATTAATATATGGTCGCACCACCTGACATTTTCTGGGTGGTAAAATCAGAAATCTTGTTTAATAATAAATTAATGCTGCCTAAAATGCTTTAAAACCTATAAAAATCAACACCATACATTTTTTTGGACATAAAAATGCATTTTAAAACTGTTTTGCTTAAAATATTTTTTTTTTCATCTTGAAAATCTTATTTGTCATTGACTCATAAACGCCTGTGTGTGAAATATTTATAAAATTGTCATTCTTGTGGCACTTGTCCGTGTTGTTGGGTTGTAAAAAAAATACATTCATTATTGTTTTACTATTTACAGTCTGTTTTTTTTACAAAAGAAAAGTAAACATTTTCATAACCGTTACAAGTATTGTATGTTTTTTTTTATTGTAAACAAACACTATAAGAGGAACTTTCTTTAGTGGTATTTAAGGCTTTCAACAAGGAAAAAGAGGTCTGAGTCGGACCTCCTAAAGACACAGTAGTGAATCCTAAAACTCTTGATCTCACGCCTCCTTCTGTCTCTTCAGCTGGTTCAGTAAAATCAGAGGGACTATAAAGAACACCGAACTGATAATAAAACATAATTCTGCTCCAGCCAACCAGTACACTGAAAAATAAAAATAATAATAATGTTATGATTAGCTGAGAACTGCAAAAAAACAAAACAAAGGTACAGACTGATATAAATTCCATACAGTAATTGAAAGGGACATTTCATTGCAATGTCAGTTATAGTTAGGGTTGTTCACGTAATCACTCAGTGTACATATGAAAAAAAGACATTACATCTTTTTCTTTTTTTTACCTGTAGAAGTCACAATAGGGCCTAGTGCTCGAGCTAAAGCTCCAAGGCTCCGAAGGATTCCCATTACTGTTCCCTTCTGACTGGCTGAGCCTAAGACATCAACACAGACATCATTAACACCATCACACATTCAAACTAACAGAAGTGTGAGAAATCATTACCATAATTATTAAAGGGACAGTTCAAGA